TATTGGTCCCTTCATGGTTTTTCTTGTTTCAATTTTAATTAATAAGATTCTTTTCCATTTTAATAATGAAGTTGTTATTCATTATTTATTTATTTTTTGCTTGAATATATGAAATATGCAGATAGGTTATTTTACATGTTTGTTAAGGTGCATTGTCTCCCAACATTGATCCTACAACGAGGTTGAAACTAAAAGTCTCATTACATATGTTCTGGATGTTGAAGAGCAGGTTTAATTCCATCGAACCACATATTCTGGATACTGAAAAATAAATTTAATCTAAACCCAAACGTCGAGTGGGAAAAACTGAGTAGTTGCCACTGAACTAAACACTAAGGTTGGCAAAGTAGCTATTCATTAGGACTATTATTGATCCTTGAACTGTAGCCAATGAACAAAATGAGAGCACATCAAAGCCAATTAAGGGGTTTTTGAAAAGAAAGACAAAACCCTTCACAGGGTTGAAAGTTCTCATCTTGAAAATCTTGAAAAAAGCATTCTCTTCTTGAAATTTTCTCTCTTCTTCAGTTTATAATATTCTGTTTTGCACTTATACATAAAATACAATTCTGATGAAAGATCCTGTAAAACTCCATGCAACAATTTCTCAGAAAAAGAACACATTTTTCTGCTGAAAAGAAAGTTGCTTAGTGATTTTGATAATTCAGATATGAGGCAGCCTTCAATTCCTTTTGAAGGAAATTGTAAGTCTTTTTTTATAACTTCACGTTCAATGCATTGATTCATGTATGGTGTTCATTTATTTATTTATTTATTGCTAGCTATGTTTGGGTGCTGGGAAAATTAATTTGGCATCTTTTTTTCTTCATTTTCTTATGTTTTCTCTTTTCTTTTCCTTTACCTCCACAACCCATGATCCAAAAAAAGGGATTAATCTCATCCTGGTTATATGTATGTATACATGACAGGTTTGTCACAATTTGTATAATTCTCAGCATGAGCATTTGAGGCAGTCTGCAGCTAGACCTGCTGGAGGTGTTTCAGTTACTTCTGGTAACTCTGGATCAGCCATTTCGAGTAAAACACGAATTCGATGGACTCAAGATCTTCATGACCGCTTTGTCGAGTGTGTAAATCACCTCGGTGGAGCAGAAAGTGAGTAGCTTTGACGTGACCCCTTCGTGCAGGTATAGAAACAACTATTATTAATTGATCATTGACCCTTTTTTTCAATCAAAATTTTAAAGGCAACACCGAGGGCGATACTGAAGCTAATGGACTCAGAGGGGTTGACCATCTTTCATGTGAAAAGCCATTTGCAGATACTAATAACATTTTAAAGAACTTTGTTGTTTAAACCCTATTTGGTATCTTGATGTTAGAGATCTAACGTGATTGTTTGCCTTTCTTTTTCCATTTGCTTTGTAGAAATATCGAATTGCAAAGTACATGCCAGATTCTGCAGAAGTTAAATCTAATCCTGAATAACACTAATTGATCATTGAATTGATTTTGATCATTTGCGATAGTGTTCTAAAATCTGATCTTAAGAACATATATAGGGCCTGTTTGTTACAATTGATTCGCACTTGAAACTCAATTTATAAGTAGAATCTAAAAAACAATTCCTTCCCAACTCCACAATAAATAGTATTTTAATGTTATTTTGCCCCAAATTTGAAATAAAAAATAAAAAATTCATAAGCGGCATCAATAACTGCGCCAAACAGGGCAATAGAGCATTCCACAAAATTAAATCATGTCATGTATTGTTTTGATGAGAAGAAACTCCTCAGATATATATACACTTGCAATTAGATGTGAATTATTATGCTGTTCTCCTCAACTTGTTCGATTAATTATGCATTTCATCTACTTTAAATATATCAAACTCATCAATCAGGCGAGTCTAGGAATAAATTCTAATAATCTCAATCTTTCTTCCTTCGTCAACTGCAGGAAAATCTGAGAGGAAGAATAACCTGAATGATGCAGCACAGATTGATATAAAAGCATAAATTTTCAAAGAATCGCTTGTTTTTATTTGTTTGACATATTGTGGAATGGCATTAGTATTTTATTTGTTCGACATGATAGCTTTTTAATTTTTGTTTTGTTTGGGTTTTTTTTTTTTTTTTTCTTTTCTTTAAATTTGCTTAGTAGGCTCACATTAGATAGTTTGAGGAAGAAGTGGAACTTCTTCACAACATGTAAGTAAAAACTGTTATATAATTTTTGCTTCATTTTGTTTGAGGCTTTTGAGTATTAAGGTGTTTTTGGCTTCAGTCAAACTGTTGTAAATTGTTGCTTCATATTGGTGTTTGTCTCTTCATTCACTCTAGAGAGGTGGCTTTTGTTTCTATTTGATAAATAATTTGAAATTTTTTTGTCTTGAATCTGCAGGTGCTGGCTAACATGAAAAGAGTGTGATTTAAATAATCTAAATTGTAAAGTAAGCTATCTTTTTTACTTTTTTATTTACAATATGCCAATTCACATGATGCATATGGGGAGAAAGGGGGTATAACATTTTATATTGCTTGGACTTGGAAAAGAAAGGGCTATAACTGTTGGTTACAATTGGTTCTGAACACTTTCTCATGATTAGAACCTACGTCAACATATTGTTTTTTCATCTCCTTTTAGCACAAATGCATATCAATCTATCATATGAAGATGGCATTGATAGACTACAAGATGATTTTGGCTTGTCTTGTAGGTAATGGGACTGACATGGGGCATGTGGGATGCAACTATCTTCAGTATACATCAAAAAGTTATCCTTGGGGCTGATGTGTTATATGATACGAGTGGTAGGATTATTTTTGTTGAGCTACTGTTTTTTTTCTTCTTTTGCTCCATTAAACTGAAGATGAGATGTGTATTGTGCATATATTGGCAAGGCTTTGATGATCTCTTTGCCACTGTGACATTTCTAATCCAAAATTCTCCAGGATCTGTTTTCATAGCAACCTATCACAATAAAAGGTATTTTTCATGTGTTTCATACCTTAACGTTATTTTGTGTTGGCAGTTTACATTTCAACAATGTTAACCTTTGAATTTTATTAAAAATGTATTATTTATTTATATATTTGTTTTGTTTTGTGCAGCGGGCATCATCTAATTGAGTTCTTGATGGCGAAGTGGGGGTTGAAACCATTATACAAGGCATCTGGGTTGGCAGAAATTGTTTTGAATAGTGAAGAGGTGAGGTAACATATGCCAAAAATTAGCAGTAAAAAGTTGAATGGTGACACAGCCTCTCTGATTTTTAACCTTGTTCCATAGTGATATGTCAATTAGTTCAAATTGTGTTTTTGGCGTATGTCATATTGGTTTTGAATGAATTGGAATTTATTTGCCGCATTTGTTTTTGGGTTAGATTTGAGGTTTTTATGTTATTTGATTGCCCGCAAAGATATTGTCCATGTTTTTTTTTATTTATTTATGTTTTTTTTTTTCCCGTAGATTTGAATGGGTGACAATTTAGACTTCTTGATGACAATTTTGCTCCTCCAATATCCACATACACATTAATGCAATATGTGAATTTATAGTTTAGCAAGCAAATCCTTGACCCCCCATTACACTAATATATTGTTCTTATATTTTATCAACAATTAATCATATTTGTATCTTTGTCTATATATAGCCCATGAGCATAGCTTTTCTTGATATGGATGGGTTTCATTTATCTGAAAAATTGAAAAAAATAGAGTAACAGTTACTAATTTAATCTTGATACACTATGTCGCGACATATATATATGGATGTGGATATTAGGCTAATGTTCCCTACTCAAAAATTCTATTAAAATTTTTATTAAATATCTTGTATATGGGATTTATATAAGACTTATATAGTGTTTGTCTTACACCATATAAGATATTTAATAGAAATTTTAATAAAATATAAGTAGTGTTTTTTTTCTTTTTTATATGGCATTTTTATTTTTATTTTGGGGGATGCACCAATAAATCCCAAATTAACAACTCATATACTGTTTAGTCCTAAAAGTTTTCTTATAGACTGAAAGGTCCCATTACAATGTTTCAAACATCAGATTAATGTTTCGAACATTAGATTTCGAACATCAGATTAATGTTTTGAACATTATATTTCGAACATCAGATTAATGTTTCAAACATTAGATTGATGTGAAAATGGGACTAAATGGAGCAAAAGAAAACTTTTAGGACTAAATGTTTCAAACATTAGATTGATGTGCAAATGGGACTAAATGGAGCATAAGAAATCTTTTAGGACTAAATAGTTCAACTTTTCAGAAACTAGGACTTATGGGTAAATTTTCCTTTTATTTTTTTTAAAGAAAAAATACATCCATATGTTTTTTCTATTTTATTATAAAATTTTACACAAATTTAATTTCAATTATAACAACTAAATTTATATAGACTCTAATTGAGAATTATTTATTTTTTATATATTTTTTATCGTGTATTTAATTTTTTTGTTGTCAGATTTCTTTTATATAGTTGATATTTTAATTTAATATTATGATATTTGAAGGAAAAAAATTCTCAATATATAAATAATGTAACGCCTCAAAGAATACCTATTATGAAAATTATACCATAATCTATTTTTGAAATACTTGAAGTTAAATTAGTTATCATATACTATCAAATAATTAAGTTGACACTTGAAAAATTATATTACTTTTATAATTGTATGTACTAAAATGTAAGGTTGTTTGGGAAGTGCTAAACTAGTATATTTTTTCATTTTTTATAAAAAAAAATGTGAAATATGGGTTGAGTTTGAAATGATGTTGTAGAGAGGTGATGTGAGTCAAATAAGAAGTCATGTGATCCAAATAAAATAATTGGGACTTAAATAAGATGATATGTTAAAATAGCATAGCATATGCCAAACAACTGCTTAATTTAATTAGGAGTCATTGTGTTTTACCAAATAATGTAATTATAATAATTTTTTGACCATAGTTGAATTTGGGGAAAACTGTTACACCCCTAAAATAATACAAGAAAGATAACTCATATACGAAATAAATATGAGAAATAACATACTTTCATACATCAGAGTCTACTGCTTAACAACCAATTAAATGTCATGTAGGGTTACATCTTTCCAAGTCATTGCTGGGTTACACAAATTGAGTCTCGTTCATTACATTTTAAACCATTGGCTTTACAAATACAAACATACACCCAACAAAACATAATAAAGAAGCTCTTGCTTCCCGAAAGTCCATTCACGCTATTGTCTAGCACTTGGCTAAACAACAAGTGAAATAGTACAATCCATCACTACATTACACTTGTGAAATGATAAAATCTATTGTTTGATCTTCAAATCCGAAAAACATTCCCTGTACACATGTACAAGCAAGCGGTGAGCAAAGCCCACCGAACAATCTCATATTAAAACATTAACGCTATGTTTGGTAACTGAGGAGAGAAAAGAAAAGAAATGATTACTTAAATAATAAGAGAAAAGAAAAGAAAAGAAATGATTGTAATTTCTCTCATTTTTATTTGGATAAGTAAGAAATAAAAGAAAAGAAATGATTGTAATTTCTTTCCTTTTTGTTTGGTTAGATTTCATTAAGAGAAAAGAAAAGAAATTATTTTATGTTATATTACCAAAATAACCTTTTATATTTTCAATCATTTTATTTCTTTTATTTTTATAGGGGTAAAATTGGTATTATGAAAATATAAACATTTGTGGATTTCTTTTCTCTCCCAATCTCTCCACTTTTGGGAAGATTGAAAATAAGGGTTATGAGAGAAATGAGTTTCTCTCAATTTCTCTCAATTTCTTCCCATTTCTCTCTACTTAAGATAACCAAACAAGGAAGAGAAATACATTTCTCTCTATTTCTTTTCTTTTATCTCCAAATCACTCAATCCAAACACAGTGTAAAAGATATGCGGGGACAAAGATACTTATACATATACGTGAAATCATATTATGTCAAAATCATATGATTTTATTACATAATCTCTTAAATCCAATGTCTGCATATTCTTATGCCACTAAGACCAATCTTATTTCATTTTCCTTAAATTCATATCTAGTTCATATATGCTACTATGAGTTAAATTCATTATCTTTCAATAACCAAAATGAGACTACAACTCAATAGTTTTCTAATTATGCACAACACACATAAACACTTCAAACTTTGCCATTTTACGGATATTTTGTTCGAAGGAACTGGCACCCATTTATATATAGATTTTCGGGTCTTTCACCCAAGACACTCCGGCCAACTTGCTTTAAATGGAGTCCATCCTCTTTCTCCTCCCAAATAAATATACATATGCAATGTATATATAAACATAATCGTATATGGAGTACATTCCTTTCTCCTCCTAATAAATATATATATACAATGTATTTATAACGTCATCAATTATGGAGTACCATTTTTCCTCCCAATAAACATACATATACAATGTATTTACAACATGGCTATATTCAATGACATCAACAATGGATTAGCATTAAATCACCTAATCCTCATGTAATTTCTACAACAATCATAGCTAACCTCCACCAATAGTCCAATACAATTATTTCCAAGATATATTCAATATCGGATTTAATAGTTTATTCAAAACTTCTATAGGTGAGATAATACATATCCAATATCACCATCTATATTAATAACCATCCAATTTAACATATTCAATGTTAATTCTAATTATTTATACAAAATAATCATTTTATCAAATTAGGGCAAAATCCCATTTTTTCCAATATTAACCCAAATACCCAAAATCAACTATTTTGGTACACCAAGATCTTATATTCAAACCCCATACTCATTTATCTCTTATACATCAAAAATTCCTCTTTTCATTTTACACCCAAATCTCAGATTTGTCCAAACCACAACCAAATCTAATCATCTATACACAATAACAAATAACTAAGCTAAAAGTCATACTAGAGTGTAGAAAATCCCTACTTATTAAATATTACTATTTTGATCAAAATTCTCATTTCTCATTTCAATATAATTTCTAATACAATTCCAAGAGATAATATAACCATATCCATATTCATATAGTCTCACATGTTAATTAACATTCATAGTTTAATCATTTCAAGACAAATTTATAACATATTATATATCAAACTTTCAAAGTTCTATCATTTCTCGTCCTTCCAAGAAATCTCTCATTTAAATGCAACATGGTAAATTTTCACCGATAGCCAAAATAGTTATCTCTAACATATTAATTAAAAGATAACAACATGAACATATAATTCAACATATAACTATAACTTGGAATCTCCCATGATCCCCAACATTTAGAAACAAATCATATTCCACATTTTATCATAGAGTGTAGAAAATCCCTACTTATTAAATATTACTATTTTGATCAAAATTCTCATTTCTCATTTCAATATAATTTCTAATACAATTCCAAGAGATAATATAACCATATCCATATTCATATAGTCTCACATGTTAATCAACATTCATAGTTTAATCATTTCAAGACAAATTTATAACATATTATATATCAAACTTTCAAAGTTCCATCATTTCTCGTCCTTCCAAGAAATCTCTCATTTAAATGCAACATGATAAATTTTCACCGATAGCCAAAATAGTTATCTCTAACATATTAATTAAAAGATAACAACATGAACATATAATGCAACATATAACTATAACTTGGAATCTCCCATGATCCCCAACATTTAGAAACAAATCATATTCCACATTTTATCAAATATGAATAACTACACTAGTTTTCATATCACAATCACGTCTGGTAACTTCTTAAGGTCTATTTCTAACCGTGTCGGTTTTATTCCAACAAATACATTAGGTAAAAATAATATCGTTAATGCCTAAGAAAATATCATTTTCTTTCCAAACTCATTCTTTAAGCATTATTCAACTATGACATCCTATTTTGATCGAAAGTCCCAAAAGTTAAACGTAATTCCTTTATTTTCTTTAAAAATACTCTTTTGACCACAAATCGGTAAAAAATTCAAAACCAATCGAATCCAAGTCCGTTTTTGTTCAAATTTAAAACATAACTCTTTCATAACTTTACAAACATATTCCAAGTTTACACTTTCGCAATTTGGGTATCAACTTTTTATTTTTCTCAAAATTTCTCTTTTAAGCAAATAAAACATAAATTTTTCAAAAATTCTAATTAAATTATATACAACTCTAAACTCCATATAATAAAGCAAAAGTGCATAAAGAAGTGTAGGAAAAATCTCTACTTAACAATTTACACAATATTCCTCAATATTAATTTATTTTTCTCAAAAATAAATTCCAAAACTCAAAGATGAGATAAATATTTTAACATTAATTTCTCAAAATAAATTATCTAACCATAATATGATGTAGATATAATCCATACAATTATTAAATTCTATTTTCAGATTTCTTTTACAAAATTAACAACACAAAATGATTTTCCCAAAATCAATATCAAAACACCAACATTCTTAACATTTTCAACGTAATTTTTCTTTCAAAAATTACCAAACAAAAATCTGAAAATATATCTATATGCAATATATCTTATAATGATATATTTTCTCAAAGTAACCCTAACATAACTTTAATGTAAAAATATGAAGAAAGTCCTTACCTCAAATAATGAAGAAAAACAGACCTGGAAGGCAAATCTTACCCGATCATGAATCCGAGACTACCATTGCGAAGATCACGACGAGCTCTCCAACCTTTATTTACAAAATTTCACTCTAAAGACTCCCATTTCAAGCTTGAAACTTGAGTAAAAATGATGAACATGGAAAGAGAGAGAGATAGAGAGAGACAGGGAGAGACAGAGAGAGGGAGACGTTGAGAGGGAGAGAGAGTTCAGCAAAATGAAAAGCAAAAAAGGAGGGGAAGGCAAAAGCATGGGGGGGACAACCCCATGTGGGTTTGGTGGCTTTCCCAAAAAAAAAAAAATGATTTCCCAAAAATATTATAATTTTTGTAATAATATTTTCAAATTTTATAATATAAATTATAAAAATGGGGTAATTTTTCTCACCATAAAATATGATATTTTTGTACACCACAAAATATAATATTTTGCTCACCATAAAATATATACTCATTTTATTCACTACAAAAATATATAATTTTTCACCATATGATACACACCATAAATCAACTATCAAATATTTATTATAATCCTATATAATAAATAATAACTCTTAAGGTGGTTATTATCAATCACATAATTAAAAATGACCAAATAATTAAACATGAATCATAAACAAATTCAAATTAAATTGAATCTAAATCATGGGTCTCATTCATAAGTCAAATATGGTCCAATTATATACTAAAATAGACCCAACTAATTTATCTCAAATCATGATCTAAACATTAAAAATTAAATAATAAAATTCTACTATAAATTAAACTGAACACCAATCAGTCCGTGAATTTTCATAAAATAAATACTCATCATTTAATTCTGAAATTTTTATCCAACGTGCTAGACTCATATGGGAACAACACATAAAAATTTCATAATTTTTTGAGATCGAGAACTATTTTTAAAAAATAAAAAATCAAACTGTTTTCACACAGAATTTACACAACAATCAAATTCGAAAATTTGTTCAATTAAATTATGCACTGACTATTTTTTTTTTTAAAAATTATGGGTCATTACAAAAACATATTTCCTTTGTTTCTAGAAGGGTATGGCTTCTGTCCAGTCCGGGATCGGACTGGACCGTACTGTTGGGTCCGTGGGGGCTCACCACGGGTCTCGTTTGGATAATCTGAACCGTTTAATGTATAGAACTTGTTGAGTATTATATGCTTGTAAAAAATCACGTTGATCGGATATCGATGACTATATGATCAAATCAGTTTCATATTAAAAAAATTGGACGGTGAACAAATTAACGGTTGACAAAAAACTATTTTGATCACATAGCTATCGATATTTAATCAACTTGATTTTTTACAGGCATATAGTACTCAACAAGTTCTACACATTGAACGGTTCAGATTATCAAAACGAAATCCGTGGTGGGCCCCTACGGACCTAATAACATGGTCCAGTCCGATCCCAGACTGGACAGAAGCCATATCCTTTCTAGAACACCCCGTGGATGCCATGGTGCACAGTGTTGCATAGTGCAGCATAGTGTGGTAAGCCATGTGAAGCCATATGGCTGCACAATGTTGCATATTGCAGCATAGTGTTACATAATAAGGATTTCTTACTTATAAATTGGTAAGCTACATGGTAGTGAAATCACAAGAATAAGAAATGAGAGGTATATGAGAGAGTAAGTTGAAGTCAGAAGTGAGAGTAAATAAAAAGTTTAAGGTGAGTTGTCTTATATTTTGAGTTATCATAATCTGTTTTATGTAAATTATGTTTTGGAAATCATATTAATTTTTAAAAATATATAATTTGTTACATGAACCATATTTGCTTACAAAAGGAAACTCATAAATAAAACTGTTTACTAAATGTGTTTTTGAACAATTATTTTATAAGTATCACTACGAAAATCCCAAGCATTAAAGAATTTAAATAACAATTAGCCCTCTGTATTGATAAATTATAAAATATAATTGGTAAGGGTACAACCTCTGTATTGATAAATTATAAAATATAATTGGTAAGGGTACAACCACGTAATGTTTTAAACTTGTATGATAATTTTTGATAGAGAGGAAGTGTTTGATCCTTGAGCTAATTTTTTGTACATAATTTTTATTGAAAATTTATTATGAAAATAATGTGATAGTAATATTTTCACAATTATGAACCATATTAATAGACATTTTGATGATGTAATATTGACATTTTTCACACTATGGTGGTGTTTGTTTTGAAGGATTGAGCCAGGGAATTAGACTAATAGTCCATCCAGATTAATAGTCTGTTATTTGGTTCAATTTTTTTGTGCCGAACTATTGTGTCCGATGCGGGGGTGGGACACAAATGGGAGGATAAGGGAGAATATGAGATTGTGGTGAAATGACCATTCTGACTTTAATTATGTATTATATTTAGTAAAATTCAATAAAATTTGAATGTTTCAATTTAAAAATAAAATAATTTTATTTAATTTTTATTGATGTTTTATTTATTTAATTTTTTAAAATTATTTTTTATAGATATTTTATTGATGTTTTATTTTAAAATTTTGTTTATATTTTATTTAATTTCATTATTTAAATTTTAATAGATGTTTTATTTAATTTCATTATTTAATTATTAATATTTTAAAAATAAATTTATTTAAAATTTTAATTAAAAAATAACATACATTTTTATTGATATTTTATTTACTTAAATTTTAAAAAATAAAATTTATTTAATTGTGTAAAAAATAAAATAAAGTAAAATTTTATTTTATCTAGCTATAAATAATTAAAATATTAAAGATATGTTTAATGTTGCTATTACATAATAAATAATTGAAAATGGAAAAATAGTTATTTGAATATTTATCCTTCTCCATAATATCCCAAATAGACATATAATTCATATCCTATCCAACCAAATATTCATTTTTTCACATCTAATCCTATTACTAAACAAACATAAGATACAAATTTAATTCAACCAAATAATCCGGAGACAATATATTCCAAGATTAACAATTTGATAAATTCCAATCCCACTTATCCAATCCATTAAAACAAACACACCCTATAGACATCTTGACTTGTACTGCATATAAGTGAGACCTCATTATGTAAAGTTTTTATATATAAATTTTATTTATGTTATCATCTAATCGTTGTCCCGTTTTTGTATTCTTATCATATATATATTTTTTATTTATTATGAATGGTTGAGGAGGTCTATATCACCTTGTCGTGCATGAATTCGGCTAAAGTCACATGAGGCGTAATTAACAAGTAACTGATTGTTAATATATATGTTAAATAAGTATACAATTAAAATTTTAAACAGATATCGATCATTGCTAGATGAATTAGGTTTGTATTATTGTCGTTTTCAGCGCTGGGTGATTTTATTGAGATTCCGATTAATAAAAAAGTCATTAATAAACTAAGGTTAGATTTGACATCCCTTAAAAAAGTTAAAAAATCACTCTCCTATTTAAATCACATCATCTTATTTAAGTCACATTACCTTTCTATCATATCACTTCAAAATCAACTCATATTTCATAGAAAGTCAAAAAGTATACATTTTTAAAACATCTCAAAAAACCCTTAAGTGAATAAACATTATTTCCTATTAATTTATGACACCGTCCAATTAAAAATCATTACATTCAGTATGTATTCCGTAACTTCAAATGATACTTTTTGGCCTAATTATTGTACATATATAGATTTCACAGTGCATCCCTCAACATCCACCCACAAAATACATCTCTTCTTGAAGTGTTGTGAAATCTAGGTCTTAATTGCAATGGAAACCAAGAACTCTATTGAGCAGCCTTCTTCTAATTCACCAAAGCCATTATTACTTGATCAATATCCCAAGAAAAACTTCTGGGATTTCTCAGATATCTTCCAAAGCCAAGGTTTCTGGTACACAAACCCTCACCTAGAAGCTGCAAGAGACATCCTAGCACATTTCGAATCACGCAATGACGATATATTCTTAGCTTCCTCCATTAAAACAGGCACAACATGGCTCAAAGCCCTTTGTTTTTCGATCATCCATGGTCGGAAAAATGTAGATGTCAAAGTCGATGAGGAAGAAGAAGAAGAAGATGACCCTCTTGTCAAGAACACTCCTTCCTCTTGTGTGCAAACCATTGAAAACGGGGTTTACATGACAAACCCTACTCCAGATTTGTCAGGTAATTAATACCATGAATGTTAATATTGCAAATAAATTATATTATGGTTTATCTACAAAATATTATTTTGTCGAGTCATGTAAAATTAAAAATATGACATAATGATGAACAAAATTTCTGACACACCTTTGCAGGTATGCCATCTCCAAGGCTATTTCACACTCACTTTCCTTACAGTGCCTTACCGGATTCAATCAAAAACTCCGAGTGCAAGATTGTGTACATAACCCGAAACCCTAAAGACACCATGGTTTCGATGTGGCATTTCTTTAACTCTCTTAGGACACCCGAGCAAGGTCCATACCCTTTTGACAAAGCATTTGAAAGCTTCTGCGATGGGCTTTACCCATTTGGACCCTTCTTCGATCATGTGTTGGAGTATTGGGAAGCGAGCTTAAAGAAGTCTGACAAGATACTGTTTTTAAGATATGAAGAAATAAAGAGAGATCCAAAAGGACTAGTGAAAAGACTGGCTTCATTTCTTGGAAGGCCATTTGTGAATGAGGAAGAGGTTGAGAAGGTGTTGTGGAGGTGTAGCTTGGACAGGCTTAAGAATTTGGAAGTGAACAAAAATGGTTCTACCGCGGTAGGGTTGCCAACGAACTCATTTTTCAGGCTTGGGGTTGTTGGAGATTGGAAGAACAATTTTAGCCATGAGATGGAAGAGAGACTGGACCAAATTTCCTCCATGAAGCTAGAGAAAACTGGGCTTGATCTTAACAAATGAATCAAGAGAGATCAAATAAATAATTAAGTGAACAAGATATAAATAACTAAGCTTTGTTGCTACTTTGTTGTCAAGCGTTTTATGTTGTTTTTTTTTTTTTTTTGGTGTGACAAATATGTTCGAATAAGAAATGTCCCTCAAGATATTGGATGGATCCTATTCTACTGTTGTTTGTTATTTTGCTTTTGAAATGAAGTGTTTGTTGTCTTGCAATATTTATGAATATGATTGTAAAGGATGATTGTATTTTACATTTAAATCTATTACTTAAAAGAGACGAGATATTTATGCAAGTAATATAGTTAATTTGATGGGTTCTTTGATAGGTCTA